GAAGGTGTTGGGGGAGGGGGGGATCAAATATATCAAATATATATCAGAGGGACATCTTAAGATTATTGGTGGGCTCCCAGTGCAGGGGGACACAGGGAGGAGACTCAAGGACACGGTTAAGGATGGTGGGTGTAACAGGAGGGGGGAGGTAGATGGAGGTAGTTGGTCGCTGTGGAGATGCTAAGTGGGGGGGGGGGGGAACATGATTTTTTAATAATTGATATTCACTTTTGAAGGTAAAGTCCTTCCATGTCTCCATCCTTGAGGAGCTCTAATGTGGCAGCGGCAGTTTTTTAAAGCACATCATCCATTTCCTAGCGTCTGCTTCTTTCTCACTAAAATGAAAGTGGTGTTTGGGTGTAAATGTGAAGTGACACGTCCTCCCCCTCAGACACTGTAATCCTCAGCTCTGTGGAGAGGTGGCTGTGGAGAATAAACAGCAGGAGACAGAATTAGAAGCACTTTGTAAGAGAATCAGACAGATGGAGTAAAATGAAGAGGACAATATATCTGGGTTAATTACAGCAGCCTTAGACAAAAGTTTCTTCTTTGCTTTTTTTTAACCCTTTTTTTCCCCCAAATCAGAGTCAAACGTGACAGAAATTGCAGATACATTAAACCGTTTTCACCCAACTGCTGGATCATCTCCTGAGCTATGGTTCCTCCGACACACAGACACAGACAGAGGTTTTTGTTAGGTGTACAGCAGCACAACAGTCACCACAGGGCACTTCATTATTCTCTTTGCCAAATCAATATTTTATAGCAGTTTAGACAGGCCCAAAGGAGATAGGCTAGTAAAATAAAGGAGATTTTTTTTTCTAAGAGGGGGAGGTGATGGGTGATGTCCACCCCCACCCCCACCCCACTCTCTCTCTCCTCCCTCTGGGACTGTGTTTCCCTCCACATCATTTTCATGGTTATTTTCTCGGGGCCCACATTCTGTCCCTGCTGTGACAGAATGTCTCTGACAGCTGTGGCAGCCCAACCATCACTTTTTCTCCTCTGGTGGTGTTGATGTGTTCTTCTGCAGCTCCTGGGATTTGGGAATGGGACGAAAATAACACAAATGTGGATAAATCATGTGGAAAAAAAAATCTTCACTTCCTCCTCACTACCTCCTGTGACTCTGGCGCTGACAGTGATTTTTTTTTTTTTTTCATAATTAACTTACCGTGGCATTAAATTTGTCCCAATTATGCAGCAAACATATGCTTGGTCACACAGCCCTGATGCTGTGTGGTTAATTTGACGGGATTATCAGTACATTTGTTGCCCTACAATTTCCTCTCTCTCTCCCCCTCATTTTCTGCCTCCTGCTGTAGTGGAGTCACCCTGGGAACGACGGCACAACGTGACTTGAATCTCAATGAGCTTCAGCTACTGTTGACCCCTCTGCTCTACTCTTCTCTTAGAGTACATACACAATAAATAACTGCTTTATTACATCATACTGTTTTTTTAAAGAGGGTTTTTTTTTCTGGTTTTCTCATTTTTAGGACAGATGTGCTGGTCTTTTTGGGTGCTAACAGTTAACAATTGTTTTGGTTATTTAAAATATTTTTGGTCCAGTTTTAGGTTTGCTAGTCAAACGTGTTGTACAACATACAGTATAGCTTGAGTTATTGTTTTGGTCAAAGCTATTTTTCAAAAAAATATTACGTTATTTCGCGCAGGACAGCTGTCTTGGCCATTTTTAAACTCTTGCTACAGTATTAGCTAATCCTTTAGCTTTTTCACTTGGCGTTTTTGAATGTTTATACAGTGTTTTCTATATTTTTGTAGCTATTTTGATATAAATATTGCTAAAAAACATGTAACTGTTTCTAGGCCAGATAATTAGTGTGTTTTGTTCAAATTCTGAGTCTTCACCTTGGGTTAATTTATACCTTTTTCTCTCTAACTCTCTAGTGCCTCTATGCTTTGTATTAATATGACACTCAATGATTTTGTTGGCTTTTGATGATTTTTTTCACTTAAATGTTCTAGTTTAAATGTGCAACAAATATCAAAACTAAATCACTCTTGTACATGTGATGCCTGTTTTAAGTGACAGCAGTTGAAGAACCCTGTGCTAATATGCCGTATTATCAGACTGCACTCTCCCTGAGGGGCAGCTTTGACCTTAGAGGACCCAGAAGCACTTAGAGAACCTCAGTCTCTGCTGGAGGCCTGTGTCATTTTTCTATCATTCAAACAATCAGCACTTCTTCACTGTGCTGGAACAATCCACAGTCTTATCAGGTTGACACTGCAGATAGCAGGATTCTCAACACCGACCTTTTCCCGCCGTTCCATTTTCTTATTCCCCTCTCTAAATGACACACTCTGCTTCATCTTCGACCTCAATCTGCTTCATGTGATGTCACTGAATGTCACAGCTGAGAACCTCCTGCTGTGTGATGTCTTCTCCATTATACAGAGATATAACAGAATTCACAGGGGCCCCCGTGGGGGCCAGCAAGGACAAGGGCAAGACAAGAAATGTTGGTGGTAAATCATTTACAGAAAAAGCTGAACACTTTACTCAAAGGCCTTCATCAGCTGTGCTTCGCCCAGCCGGTGATTTTTCTTGGTTGTTTTTTCTGTTTATTGCTTCCTGGTTGTGTGGCTTCCCTGCCACACTACCCACCCCTGATGTTGCCCCCAAAACCAGACCAGCACTGACTGTCATAATATGTTGCAAATGAAGCAGAACTGACCAAGAGCTCCTGCAGCAGAACCACCAGAGAGAACATTACACCTGACCTTTAAGGGTTTCTACAGAGACAGAAGGTTACTAACAAGAGACGGGGCGGTTGTGGAAAGATGGCCGTGAGGGGTGGGGGTAGACGTTCCCCGTCCCCTGGAGTGGAACGGAAACAGACAAGTGCAGATATAACTGTCATCTTTGTTTAGCTTTATTCTGCCCAGGCGTGCAGAGGTCAGAGCAGTGATGCTGACGCTCGTACACATGTAAACAGATGTATCTCTCTGTACGTGAGTGAGGCCAGACGGACCCACCCTGTACCTCTGACCTGGACCTGGGAGTGGGTTTACACCTGTCATGTTTTCTTTTGGTTTAAATTAGACTGGCTGTGGCTACCAGGGAGCATAAAGGACACTGACTCAGGAACGTCTAACCAACGTATGAGCATCATTTCTCTCCCTAGGGCAAAACATAACAGTTGAAAAGAAGAGTTTTGGACGGTTACTGATATAACTAGTTACTAGTTACTGAAATATTGCTGTGATAAGTGTCTTCTTGTGTCACAGCTACAGAATTACTGGGTTCTCTCTCTCTTCCTCACGGGCCTGAAAGCCTGGAAATGCATGTCTAAGAACTGCTCCTCACGTCTTGTTCTCTGCCTGGAGAACCTCATTGTTGTGAGTGAAAACATTCTCCAGCCTCTCTCTGGCAGCCATTAAGAGATGTCAATAAAATGCACGATTGCAGCCGCCTTCGCTGTGCAAACAGCTCCACGTAGCAGCACAGACATGGACTTGGCGCTCTTATTGAAACCACGCAGGCGGTGGTTTTCACAGAAACAATACAAGAGTTATTAATAAAAACACTTAATATCTACATTTATATTTAGGTCCATACATTACATGTATTCATCTAAAAATAGGCTTTATGTCATCCAAGACAAAAGAATCTTAGTATCTGTAGGAATTAGCCTAAGGTTAGTTTTACCTTCAAGTCCCAGCAGCCTGCTAAAGAGCTACACGTGTGTTTCTACTCTGTCATCAGCACCACCTCCATATGGCACCACCTCCAAACCGCCGGTCTTCTGAGGTAGCGTGCCCTCTGCACAGCGTGATGCTGCTGAGACACAGAGAGAATCCTTCCCACAGGAAGGAGCTGAGAGCGTGTTTTAGGAAGGATTATGGATTCAGTTGTGGAAGTGAAAACCAACCTCACTAAGCTGCAGCGGATTAAGTTTCGATTCTTTCAGCATTAACAAGAAAAAAGCCCTTCCCTCGTGAAACACAACATGGTTTTAAATTGGCATGTTACATAAGATCATTGGTAAGAAGAGCAGGTTGAACCAAAGCACCTGACTGAATCACATGGATACATTCATGTGAAACTAAAGTTAAAGTTTGTTAGATTGCGTATGCTCAAAATGTCATAGCCAATGCTATGCAACATGTCCCAAAGGATCAAAAGTGACTTTTTTAAACCTGTCCTCCGAATGTCTTGAATGTTTTAATACAGGGAAATCGCCACCATTTTGAACATTTCAAGATTGTGTTTAGAAAATCGTTTTCTGCCCTAAAAGATGCCAAAAACAGCTTTAGTCTTTCACCTAAAAGAAGAAGAAAAAACTGATACAAACCGGTAAAGCAGTCAGGCAGAACGGTTCCTGTTGTGTTCCGTATGAAGTTCGGTGTGACTCTCCAACAGCACAGGTTCTGTGGAAGTGGCGCTCACTTGACCTCACAGGAAACTGATTCTCGCCCATTTTCTCAAGATCTGTTGCGTTTTTGAAGTTTTGTGTTGAGATTGGAGAGGAAAGTGGGCGTTTACGGCTCTCTTCAAAGTGTTAGTGTGGAGTGAATGTGGGCTGAGTGAGGACAGCTGTAGCTCTTTATCCCATTCTGTTATTGTATCAGCTGCAAAGCTCACTGGTCTGTTACTGGAGACACTCGAAACACAGATGAAAGACCGGGTCCTCTCAGATTTGGCTCCAGCAGGGGTCAGCGGCGCTTTTGATGGCCCTGATGGGAGCAGGGACGGTGAGAGTCACTGTCTCATTGATGGCTGCAGCACTGGACTATGGCAGGAGTACAAGTGGAATCTTCATTTTTGGTTTCTATACTTTTTTGCATTAAAGCCGTTTTCGTGACATATGATGGTGATTAGCAGGCGCTAATGAACATACTGTCCTATACACTTAATGGCCAAGTTGAAAATGTTTGGAAGGAGTGAATTCTTCTTTTTTTTCCTTTTGATAGATTATTGAATTCCATATATTTTAACAATAAAAATGAGTTTCTTTGTTCTTTGTTCACAGCAAAAAGCCTCAGGCAAGGTGCTGTTTGACCTGGTGTGCTCCCACATGAACCTGATAGAGGGCGACTACTTTGGTCTGGAGTTTCAGAACCATCAGAAGCTGATGGTGAGTGAGAGAGAAGACAAAAGTGATGAAGACAAGTCTGTCTTATTGGACCAGATATAGTACATGTACTGTCTCTCCGTCCACAGGTTTGGTTGGACCACATCAAACCTATAATCAAGCAGCTGAGAAGTGAGTGACTCCGTTTACGTCGTCTTCTTTAAGGCAAAGTTTTTGTATTCATCAGGAGAATAGAATAGAGTCCGATTTTAAAGTCAGTTTTACAGAGTCATAAACTGCGTTTCCACCGAGGCTCATATTTCTACAAAGAAGGAAAAATAGGAGGAATTTTAACAAATCTCTTGTTTTTTTTTCCATCACAAGGACCGAAACACACAATCCTGAGGTTTGCTGTGAAGTTTTTCCCACCAGACCACGCTCAGCTGCTGGAGGAGTTGACAAGGTGAGTGAGCTGCACTAGACAAACCAGCAGGGCAGCTCAGGAGCTGCATACTTTCTGTTCCAAAAATATACAGAAGAATCTAATCAGAAATCAAGGATGAATTTATAAATTCAAGGACGTCTCTCACCAGAGTCAATGTTAAATCTTTCTGAAAGCCTTCTATAATAATAAGCAGCTAATGGAACGCAGCCTTATTTTTTGAGTTATTTTTAAAAGAAATCAGATAATTTAGTTTCTGAGCTAGTGTGGGAAAATGCTTCTCAAATGCTCTGACTATTTGCCCCGCCCACCTTGTACTGTTGTCGCCCAGGTACCTGTTTGCCCTCCAGGTCAAACAGGATCTTTCCTGTGGACGCCTGACCTGCAACGACACCAGCGCCGCACTGATGGTTTCTCACATTATCCAGTGTAAGTTTTTACCTCCTCAGGCACTTTATGTAAATAAAAATACTGGAGCTTTGACCAGTAATTTGTTCCAGAACAATACTACATTGTACTACTACAATACTTCATACTATCATTACTGCAACACTGAGTATGAGACGCTGTGAGTATGTGAACCAGCTGCGATTAGAAACCTCGTGAATGAAGACAGAGATCAGCACAACTTGATGCGTGCACCTAGATACCATCCCCTGGATTCACCACAGCCACTGTGTGCTTTATGAGGAAGTATCTTGAAGACAGATGGTGTAACGCACTGTGCCAGAAGCAGTGGAGTCTTACTAAGAGCTTTTTTATTATGATTTATAAACTTGTCCATATTTTTTGCTGTATGGGTTTTTTTTCTCTCACAATATTTCTCCTATTCTTTGGTGTTTTCCAGCTGAGATTGGAGACTTTGAGGAGAGCCAGTGTCGGTCGCACCTCCTCAACAACAGCTACATTCCAGATCAAATGCCCCTGATTGACAAGATCATGGAGTTCCATTCAAAGAACATGTGAGTTTCAGCAGCTGGAGATCTGTGAGCCAACATTAAAAAGTCAGCGTTTCTATTCAGTGCTCTAAAAACCACTGAAGCGATCCCTCTAAACCACTTATGTTGTTCACCCGTGAACAGGAAAAGTTGTCCCAGACTTTATACTTGTCCCACGGGGGAAGTTTTATTGTGCAGGTGACACATTCAGGAAAGCAGGCCTTGAATGAATGGAGTCTTTCTCCAGAACACTTAGAAACTCTTTTTAAAATTGATAAACAGCCTGTTTTCCACAAGTCGATGGAGGTTTGACAAGAGGCAGCTTCAGTGGAAAAACACAGCAGTGGACGCTCTCTCTAATCTACACAGTGACTCATGCCCATGTTGTCAGAAAGACAGTTTTTTCCCCTCCAGTGGCTGACATGAAGTCTTACCCTCCAACCTCCTTCACCAGAAACCTAATTCCCACAAAAGTATTTTCAAAAATAAAGGGAGAAAAACATTTGTACCTCAGCATTACAAAACATTTTCATGAGGCTGACTTTATTGAACTTTTCAAAAAATCTTTCTATTGCCCAGTTTTGATTCTTTAAGCTTTTCTTGATTAATTCAATCAAGCTGTTACTATTCTTCTGTGAGGACGGTGTTCTTTGGGTCAGCACCTTTGAGGCCCAGTATGTGGTGTAACAGATTCTTTTTTTACTGAATTTCTGAGAGTCTCTGTCTTTAAAAGAAGACGGTTGTCTTGTCTTCAACCTTGCAGTTCTTGTGCTGGCCTTGGCTGCTTCACCTCCTGTGTCACAGTCACAGGTGTCCTGGCCCTGAGAGCCAGAATTCTAAACTTAGACTTTAAATAATTATTACATGTTAGAAAACAAAAAACTTGCTAAAAAGTGACATTAAATCCCCAGGAGTGTGTGTGTGTTTTGGACAGTGCTCAGTGCAGTTTATATGTTAATGTTAAACTCCTCTGCTAAGCAGTCTTTATATAATAACATAAAAACAGGTAATAATGAGTAGTGTTTTCTGTCAAACTGTTTGTGACGTTAACTTAGTTCATTTCAGCTACTTTCCCACCACAGTGTAAGCCTGGAGATAAAGGCCGGGCGCTGTTAAAAGCATATCACTGGACACGGTCCAGATCTGCTCTCCACCATCCTGCCTCTAAACATCACACAGTTTGAACAGGAGCCAAGGCTTGGTCAACCTTTATCTCACCTCTGTGTTGTAGTGACTTGTCTTTGAGCTGGACCCACAGTGGACGGCTGCTGCCGTCGCTGCTGCTGTCGCTGCTGCCGCGTGAAAGGACTGAGATTAGATTTGACTTTTTTCTGTTTTCCTGTGAGGCTCTCTGAGCTGATAACTGTAAACACTGTCGGCTGGTGAGAAAACGGCAGTGACCTAAATCACCTATTAGGAAACGTAAACAGGAAACGAGTCCACAGATAAGAATTAGAAAAGTTTGCGGGGTTTGCGGCCCCTTTTACAACCACACGGCTTTAGAAACTCGCATAAGAAAATATACACCCTGTTTATATATAAAATAATAATAATAATTTAGTCGAGCCAAACACTGATGAACTGACTGATATCATTTATGTCAAAACTTTTGCTTCTGTCGTTATGATGTTTTAGTGATTCTTGGCTCTGCTTCATAATCGCTCTCTCTCTCACTGTTTTGTGTCGTAGAGGTCAAACACCGTCAGAATCCGACTATCAGCTGCTAGAAGTGGCCCGCAGACTGGAGATGTACGGGATTCGCCTTCACCCGGCCAAGGATCGAGAAGGCACTGGTTTAAGCTTGGCTGTGGCACACACTGGTGTCCTGGTCTTTCAGGTCAGTGCCGCTGGTTCCATCATGGTCACTGTAAATGTGTTCACTAAGTAATATAAAATTCAGATTTTGGTTTAATCCTGAACTAAACAAACCAACGTCCTCGTCTCTGCAGGGACAAACAAAGATCAACGCTTTCAACTGGTCCAAAGTTCGTAAACTGAGCTTCAAGAGAAAACGTTTCCTCATCAAACTGAGGCCAGATTTGAACGTAAGTCTTCTCACCGTGCCGTGCTGTGTGTAATTAACTCAGACGGCGTGCAGTGAAGGGTGTAATTTAATCTATCAACCGGTGTCTGTTGCACCAGAGTTCATATCAGGACACGCTGGAGTTCCTGATGGCCAGCAGGGACTGCTGTAAAGTCTTCTGGAAGATCTGTGTGGAATACCACGCCTTCTTCCGCCTCTTTGAGGAACCAAAGCCCAAGCCCAAACCTGTGCTCTTCACGAGGGGTTCATCCTTCAGGTTCAGGTAGCACAGTTCTGGGCTGCTTCAGCAGTCTACTGCAGCGCCGCCTCTAATGACTCTGATCATCTGCTCTGTGCTTCTCTCTCTCTCTCTCTCTCTCTCTCTCTCTCTCTCTCTGTCTGTCTGCAGCGGTCGCACACAGAAGCAGGTGATTGATTACGTGAAGGAGTCAGAGTTTAAAAAGATTCCCTTTGACCGGTAAAGGCCACAGACATTTGACTCGCTCGTCCCTCGTTCTCACAGTTAATGACACTGACCCTAACTGTCTCGTCTGTCAGGAAACACAGTCGGGTTCAACATAACAGCCGCCTGTCGCCGCTGCCCTCACCACGTCACCATGAAGTGCCAACAGACGTAAGTGTGAATGAAGTGGATTAACTGCAGCTGGATGACAGTTAGACAGTGTCAGTCCTCCTGTGTCTCATTAGAACGTCCTCAGAAGACGCCGGCCGGAGCATCAGTGTCCACAGAACCATTATTTTCAATATCATTTCATTTTGTTATGAAAGTGAAAGGAGATAGACTCCATATCTGTTGTAGGCTGAGCTGGTGATGACACACGATGACTTACTCTATTTTACTGTACAACCAGGGACGTGACCCAACTCGCCCCACTGCTTGTTTATAAATACAGTCTTCAGTTCTGTGGTATTCATTTTGGTTTTCTGTGTTTTTGTGTTTTGTTTTGGGGTTTTTTTGTTTTCTTTCAAAACTCTGTGCCTGAAGGTTTTTGAATTTTCTGATGATTGTATGCTGTAGTTAAGAGTCCTGGTCCATCAGGTCAGTGCTGCTGAAGGTCCTGAGATGAACGACACTTTCCTACCAGCAGGTTCAATAGAACCGTTAACACATTAACACACAGTATTAGTTCAGGTGTACCTGATGAAGTGACTGCACATTAGTAAGTTCTCGATCAGTGGAAGATCAGAGATGATTGAATTAGTTTAATTTAACATTTCAGAGACCACTCACCTTTGCAGTTGCGTTGTAGGTTATAGACCAATAGTTTATCCTTAATAACAACTCTTCAAGATACCTTGAGTCATACAGAAATATAATCCATTTGTACCAATCATTTTATCCAGAAACACCTAACACTAACTCTAACTAACTAATTAACTATTTTTTTTCTTTTATCAGAGGGTTTCCCCAGGTGATAGAGTCGACTCCCCTTCTCAGCATCACTGGAAGGAGTCCGCGTTGGTGACCGCTGAAGACTCCTCTCCACGGACAACAAGGACTAGTCCGGCCCACCAGAGCAACGGCCACGAGGACAGAACAGCGTCTGTGTCCAGGACTGAAGAGACGAGAGGGACAACGCAGCAAAACCACAAAGACCATCAGAATACAGGTCCAGCTTTATGGTCTGTTAGAGACAAGGGCTCTGGTACGGCACGTCTCAACTCAGTAGAGGGAGAATTGAACTTCCAGGATGAGAGGTTGACTCTGTGTGTGTCCAGTAACAAAAACAGGGAACATCAGGCACAGATTCAGCATTTTCTGTGTAGTATGTGGTACAGAGATCCCGGCTCCTCTTCTACACCAGGGCTTAGCACGAGTAGGGAGTTAGACCGGGGTCCTGACAGGTCGTATCAAACCTCAGACCTCAGTCCCATCAGTGGCCACATGACTGAAGTCAGAGCCATGAACAGAGAGAGAGCCGCACACATGGTCAACCCTAGGACAGACACCGTTCATCAGGTGGCGTCCTTCAGTCATGTTGAGCAGAACGGTTTCATCTCTGCTCCTCCTCACTCCATGGGAGGCAGTTACTCCCCCCTACCCAACCGTTCCAAACGTCAACTCAAGCTCCGCAGAATGACTCCCCAATCTGATGCTGACCCAGACCAGGGTGCATCCTCTGTGGATCACGATCCACATCCTGTTTTATCTCGGGCTGAACGAATGGCTGCTCTGGAGCGGCGCATGATGGCCAACGGTCTCTGTGCACCTGGGCGGACCAGGTCCAGGTCCAGGTCCAGGTCCGGTCTAGGGCAGAGAGGTTTAGGGGGAGGTGGGGTTTCACACATGGGAGCAGTTCAAATGAACGAGTCCTTGACCACCAGTGGTTCCAGTGAGTCCAGTGAATCAGACCTGGAAATGAGGGAGGGACGCTGCAGCACCCCCCAGAGGTTTGGTGATGCAGCGGAGACTCCCACCTATATTCCCAGGAACAAGTTTTCCTTGGGCAGTTTAGAGCTGGGTGAAGAGGAAGACGAGGATGGATGTCACGTCTTCACGGATGAAGACAGTGGACAGATTTTCAGCTGTTAGAGCAGTTTGAACAATTCAGCCCACATGGTGTCTACCTGGAGAATGTGTCACTTGAAGAACTAGTTTTCCTCACAGGAAAGATATATATATTTAGAGGAATATTTTAGCTTTAGCGCTTCCTGGTGGTGTTCAAGTCACTCAGCAAGTGTCATATAAAATGTTGACGTATTTACTTAGAAGTAAATGTGTAGAAAAGATTAAATAACTAAACTCCAAACTATTAAAATTAGAAATGTATTAAAATATATGACTTTAAACTTTGATGCAATCAGACTGTTAACAGCTGGACTAGATGTAGTTCACAAATTCTAAAGCCAATCTTAAAAATTGTTGATTTAATGGTAGAAAACAAACTGTCAATTTTTGACAAGCTTCTTTTTTTATCATATTTTTCTCTGTCTATTCACTACGGACCTACAGACATTACATACAAACTGGAATAAAATAATAATAAATAAAACATTAAGAGGAAGGGAATAATCAGGAGTATGGATCCTCCATTGGTACAGTTTCCAAAGTCGGGGTCGCCCCCCTTGTAGGTGGTCCAAGGAGCGACTGTAGGACAGGCGGGTTTAGTTTGTACTTTGTCTTTCCCACAGTGGAGAAGTGGCACTGGTTTGTAAATGTAGGTCTTTTGTTCAACGAGATTAGCTGCTATGTTGGAATCACAGTATTTATAAGAGTTTAATGTCGGCTCCAATTATATAAAAATGGGAATTTTTTTTTATTTTATATTTATGGACACTTGAACCCAGTGTCTCTCTCAGCTGCCTTATGGTTTCCAACAGGGAAACACGTACTGTATACCATTATTCCTGGCATGTTCAATTGGAAAAAGACATGACGGTGATTTGCACGTGTTGTGTTCAGTCTTTACTCTAAGACAGCTTTTGTCAGAGAGGCAGATATTGTAGCATTCTGTGTATTTCACTCTCATTGGTGGTGGTCCTTCTGCTGCAGTAACCCCAGCTCAACACCAGGAGGGAAATACAGCTGGAGCACATTTTAGTGACTGTTGTGTGACTGTATTACAGCAGCCTGAGGCTCAGCCTCTCTGTGGTGAAAGTAATTGTCTGTTCCAGTGGGACTTTAACCACTTCACAACAGTTAAGAAGCCAGAGCTGACATCCACCCCTGTACCTGACTCACCCATGAGCCTCTCTGTCAACCATTCAATGTCCCAGCTTCCACTTTGCACGTTGTCTGTTCTTTTTTTCTCCTTCTTGCTTCCACTTTGTTCACATGTGTGATTGTTTCTGCTCTCATTTCTTTTTTCTTTTTTCACTGTTTGAGCTCATCTGTCAGCATGATCTGTCATCATTGTCTGTTTCTTCCCTGTTACTCCTGCACGCACACCTGGTCTGTCGCTCCCTGCAGTCTGTTTGTGTCTGTGGGAAACAGAACATAAATGTGAGCAGAACTGGGGTTCCTTTCTCTGCAGTGTTTCAGCTAACACTTTATTATTCCTAAGGAGAAAAAAGGTAAAAGCTTAAGGATGACAGAGCAGAGGAATATGAAGTAAAACAGATGCAGAGTTTTGTGTGTGTGTGTGTGTGTGTGTGTGTGTGTGTGTGTGTGTGTGAGAGAGAGAGAATTCTTTGAAAATGCCTGCTTCCCAGACAACTTTTGTGCAAATATGGAGATGAAATCAGTGCAGCCGTGAGTTATTTTCATTTCATATTTAGCTCTTTATTCTTGCTGGAGTTACTGAAGCTCTGCTGAGTAAAGGAAACCCTCTCTTCTCACCCATGGACCTGGAGTTCCACTCAGAAGTACTTCAAAGTACATAAAACCCTATTCTGTTTGTGTAAATGAACCTCCCAGGTTTATGGGTTCATCACTGGATTGTGTGTTTTAACATCTGAGATTTCCTTTCTGCTGTACCAAACCACGTTCTTTTTAGATGTTATGGTAAATAAACTGGACTCATCACTCTGTGATAGTCGTGTTGTGAACCCAGGTCAACTTTTAAAAGGTGGTTTTAAAAAAAACTCATCTGAATGTCAATGCTACAATGTAAAATATATATCTATATATATATGAGGTAAGACGTTACGGGATTTTCTTTTTTAAATTACTAGTGTTGTTTTAGATTGGGGGTCTCAATCTCCGGTTCGTGGGCAGAAGGCGGGTCATGAACTACCCACTCGTGGCCAGCAAACTCAGTTCATTGACGTCTGACCCCTGCTGGTAGCCTTTTCACAGAGATGCTGTCTGCTCATTTGACTTTGAGACCCCTGCTGCAGATCCAAGGACCCTTCCAGTGTAGTACTGTTGCCTCTGCTGTTGCCTGTGTTTTCTCTGTGTATACTGGAGTTGTTAGAGTAGTCGTAGCTCTCCCTCTGATTTTCTCCTCTCCCACCCTCTGTGTTTGGGTTTCCCCTTCCTGACTAGTGCCCATATGTGGCGCTAATGTCAGCTGGGGGAGGAGGGGCACCCCCCTGTGGTTTGTGCAGACACAGCACAGTGAGCAGCTGTGATGTAGAAGATGAGCTGAGTGACGAGTGTCTGTGTTGGAGACGTCCACTAACTCGTTGCACTTAATCATCCAGTGTGTGTGAGTCATGTGACACAGAGGCTGTCACAGATGTCTGGACTGTGGGGTGAGTCATGACTGACGTTTCCTCCCTCACCTGCTCCAGTTAGACAGAATTTAGTTCTCCAGCATCGTCTAGTCTCTCAAGACAAAGTGTGTGTGTGTTTCCCAGTCAAGGAGGTTTGTTATGTTGTTAATGTTAATGTTGACACTTTCAGAACTGTTTTAAGTGATTTTGTCCAAACTCACCCTCAGTATCAGCTGCCAGGAAGTCTGCAGCTGTTCTCCCACTCTTTTTTTTTTTTGCTTCACCCAGGTTAGAGTAACCAGTGCTTTTTAATATATGAAACTAGAAAATAATATAGGTCAAATACATAGGTAAGTGAAGTCAAAACGTTCAGAGACAAATAAATATAAATATTTATTTAGGTGCTTATACTGCTTATAGAAGACATATATATATATATAGGAAATAAACAGAAATTAAAATTCTGATTATCATAAATAAATAATAAAATATTTACTTTTCTTGTGCGAGCCATTAGTCCATTCTTTTATTTTTGCACATTTCCCCCAAATGTAGTCTAAAATAAAGATTTATTTTTTGTATTTAATGTATCCTATAAAGACCCTCTATCAGATCAGACAGTTTTAGAAATCAACCTATTTGCAAAATAAGTTTGACAGGTGCAACTGTTATTTCCGTGTTAGTCTAATCCTCATGTTTTTTCTCCGTCCTGCAGGTGTGCTCCCCGACAGTCCTCTCCCCTCGGCCCACTCTGGTCATGGCATGGTCAACGGTCAAAGGTCACTGGACCTGTGCAGTCCCTTCATAGACGGCCGGCAGCCCTCGCCACTCACCAGCCCACTGCTCAACGACGCCTGTAGCGTTCGCACCGACGATGAAGACGAGGTTCGGAGGAAGGTAGGCCGAGCAAAGGAGCCTGACTTAAATACAGCTCGTTTGTTGCACGTGTGATTATTTATCCTCCAAGGCTGTGCCTCAGAGCCGTCATATTACTCAGAATAGCAGAGGACCTAGATTACATGTCCTAAATAAAGCTGTTTGGGGACAGACTTCACCGACGCTGCTCTGTATCTTGTCTCTGTCCTGACGTCCGTGCAGAGGTATCCAACAGATAAGGCCTACTTCATCGCCAAGGAGCTGCTGACCACAGAGAGAACGTACGTGAAGGACCTGGAGGTGATAACTGTGGTAAGATGGACCGAGGCTCCCGTCCAACACTATGATTTGGTCTGTACTTTCCTTTGGGTAGAACTCATTGGTTATTCCACTCAGGCCTGGTGTGTCCTGCCAAAAACACAGAGTCAAACGGTGACATGTTGGCAGAAGAAGATTCATTTTTATTCAGTCCTGAAATGGACTTTTATCTGCCTCACTTGAAGACCTGAATACTAAACTGGGCCTTCACTTAAAGATGCATCAGTTGCAATTTTTTGGCAGATGTTTGGCATGTTGACTACATGTTGGCTCCACTACAGTTAACTTCACTGTTATATACTGTATATTACATATAGTGAGGTTGGAGATTTCCTGGCTCACTGGAAAGTGGTTAACTTCCAAGCTAACGACACATTAGCCTCAGCTTGAGCTTCCCTCTCTTCTTCTATGACATGATAAAATGTATGTACGTGTGCTGACCAGCCAATCACCAGTCAGAGCAGATCCTGCGTACAGTTTTCGACTTGTAACTTGGTGCATCTTCATAGACCTTAGACCGGTTTCACTCTGGCTGTTAGTCTTAGTTCACATGGAAAAATGATTGCGAAACTAAGAAAACATTAAAGGTGTGGTCCAGTACGACTGCTCTGAAGTGCTGCCACGGTCTGATCCTCTTCATCACACGGATCAAATGAACAACACATTTTCTCTGGCAGGTTAAAAGACTGCAGCTTTTTCTGTCTTGTAATTTTAATGGGAGCTTTTCACACGTCCCATCAACATTTGTGCTGGCTCCTGCCCTCATTCCAGCATGTGTGTGTGTGTGTGTGTGTGTGTGGTACCCTTCCCTGTATGTCTGGTGAAGTCCTCAGAGCAACACTAACTTGCTTGAAAAGGCTACTTTTATATTGCTATGTGAGTAAAGTAAAAAAACTGCTTTGTTTATAAATATACCAACGTTATTTCTCCACATATCCTTCATTTATTTTAGTCTAAAAACTTCAGCTCCTGAGATAAGAATACTCTTCCTTTCAAATGCTTAAATACATTTATTTTATTTTAAAAATGTTTCCGTTGGGGTTTGGTTCTGAATTGGATCTTGTCGTGGCAAATTGTTTATTTTGAAGTGTTGTAACAACTTTTCAAACAAAACTTTCACGATAAAACCTGTCAGAGCTGATATAATTCAAAAATATTATCATCTGTGTTTGCACTTTCTTTACTTCGTCATCCCTTTATCTCCTCTGAACAAACTCTCCGAGAATCTCCCGTGGTTTCTCCCGCTAATCTGCCTCTAAGCTTTCACCAGTGTTCACAGCAGAAGCTTTCATCCACAGATTTTTCAGATATGAAAATAGAAGTAAAAGTTTGTTTTAGTTTCTTTTTCTGAAATTTAAATCAGATTCCTTTGGTTTTATGCTTCCGTTTCTAACCCAATTATTTTTTATTTGATCAACTGAGGTTAGAAGCCAATCAGATTGGCTTAATGAGGTCATCTAAAGTAACCAAATAATTAGCAGAGTAGAACTGGCGATGCCTTCTCTGTCTTAGGAAAAAGTCTAATCATGTCCCCCTGGTCACAGCTGTGTTCAGTGCTGACCTCAGAGTTAGAGTTTATCCGTCACCTCTGTGAGGAGGTCTATGTTGTTACACATTTATTCAGCTGCTCTTTAACGAAACTTGACATCAGTCAATATGAACTGTTCAGTCAAAGACCGCTGCTGCAGTGGGAGCCGTCAAGAAAAGGCGTTAAAACCCCATCACAAAAGTGACAAATTTGAAAATAGCAGCAACAATAGACTTTATATAGTTTCACCTGGTAGACCAGGTTTATGTGCTGCATCTGTTACAGTCACTGGGGTGACATTTGGGGTCACTGTAGCGCTGACTTTGATCAGCAGTTCCAGCTTGGGAGAAAAACAATGGCTATTATTTCAGTTTGAACAGTTTTTATACATTTTCTCTTTTTGGATCTTTGGCTCCTAATGATGAAGGCTCGTGTTTTCTCTTCGATTGATTGCACATTAATTCATTCCTGTTCTTTTGTTCCGTTATAGCTGACTGGATGTGTGTGCATTTGTGATTTCCAGTCTTTTCAGAACGCCGTGGGCCAAGACGAGTCAACTCCAGACTCCCTGAAGAACATCCTCCAGTCCACCTTCGAGCCTCTGCACAAGTTCCACACAGGTTTCCTCAGGGAGGTGGAGCAGCGTCTGGCTCTGTGGTGAGGGTCCTTCAGATGTTGGCTTCATTTTTCATTAAAACCTACATTGTGATGTTATTTTATTTTCGTTGACTTCATTATAGTTTCTTCTACCACAGCTCGAAGACCCTGCAGTGTAACTGCTGTATTTATAGCAACAGTCACGCTGCATTATTTCTGCCTGTGGGTTCCTGCTGTTTGACCTCCTTTAATGATGGTTTTCCCTCAGTCGTGCAGACAGTGATTCATAAAGTCAGTCAGAACTGAACTACAGACTTGTTTGGTACCATTTTAATTCCCGTGCCTCTGATGTCTTGTCATTGTTCAAATTAAAAGCTCAATCAGTGCTTTAAATGTCCATGTAAATGATCTGCCACTTCGTGTGTCACTCTCTGCTTTTCATATTCAAATATACTGCTTTAAAAAGTCCCACTGTCGCCGAGACTCAGACTGAGGTTAGGATGTTAGGATGTTTAACAGAATAATCCATGTTTCCCTAAAGCCGCGGATTAAAACGTTACACCAAATGTGTAAAAAAAAGTGGTTATTTTGGAATGTGGCATTACTTTGCTTTTCCTTTTGGCATTGGGGAGAATACCGCTCAAGGGAGACACCTGCTGGTGGAGCTGGATAACAATTCATTTGAGAAAATAACAGAACTATTAAGAATATTTAATTGACTAATAAACTGATCTCTATAATATGTTGATGTTCATATATAAATCTTCCTAAACCAACAGACAAAACAACAATGGACACTTTTCCACTTCAAACCTTAACCATCACTGTGTAACCACTACATGTTTTAGCTCTAAATGTGCCTTTAATGGACGTCTGCACTGGGAGAAATATTAGGTTTATTCAACTACGAATATTGCAAAAATGCTGTCTACATATATATACAAAATTCCAATCATATTTGAGTTTTATCTTGACTAAGTAAAGTATAAGAACAGTGCAGTCTGACCTTGTTGTTTCTTTGATTTTCACAATAGTACAGCAGACTAGACTGTTAGATACATTCAGTTTCCTCAACTCCAGAATAGACCAAATGAAATAAACCAAAAAACTAAAATGTACTAAACTGAGGCTGATGGAAACAGTTACAGTCTGGTACAAAACAACGCCAGTTACGTTTTGCTGAAAAGTTAAATCTAAATCAGTCTGTCTCTTCTGTCTTGTCTGTTTTAGGGAAGGACGCTCCAACGCTCATATCAAAGGAGACTATCAGCGCATCGGAGATGTCATGCTGAAGAACTTGCAAGCGCTAAAGGTCTGCTGTAAAGGCGTGAAAAACATTTTATTATGTAATATGGAAATTCACTTCAGCGATGCTCAGTTTCTGCCATGATCTGAATCAAACCTGTTCACAGCCACTGGCTGTAAACCTGCACAAGCAGTCTGATGTCCTGCTGGAGCTGGAGAAGGTGTGCAGGGCGTCTCAGAAGTTGGAGCGTCTGTGCAGAGATTTCGAGCTGCAGAAGGTCTGCTACATCCCCCTCAACGTCTTCATCCTGCGGCCGCTGCACCGCCTCACCTGCTACAAGCAGATCCTGGAGCGTCTGTGCAAACACTACCCTGGAACACATGGTGACTTCAGGGACTGCAGAGGTAGACGATGGTGGTGCTGGTCTGACGAGGGTGACGGTCGGACAAATATGTGGTGATTGATGTGCTGTTGTGTGTCTGTAGCTGCTCTGGCAGACGTGTCTGAGGTGGTGGAGCAGCTCCAGGGAAGCCTAATTAAGTTGGAGAACTTCCAGAAGCTGTTGGAGTTGAAGAAGGACCTGATTGGCATCGACAACCTCTTTGTTCCTGGTCGAGTAAGTTTGTAGTCTGAAAAATCAGATCTCTGTTAAATCAGTAGCTGTTGTTGTTTATTTTGATGTTTGGATAAATGAAGACCTGCACAGACAGTGATGCAGAGGTTTTTTTTCTGTCTTTCTGCAGGAGTTCATCAGGTTGGGCTGCCTCAGCAAACTGTCTGGAAAAGGCCTCCAGCAACGAATGTTTTTCCTGGTAACAGACATTTTTCCACTTGGGTTCATGTCTCTGATTAAATCATTTAGTGGCATGAGCTCAGCAGAAATATAACCATTATAATGTTGTTATCTGTCCTGGCTTTATATCAGGCCCAGATGTTGGCAGACGCAGCACAGCTGCATGTGTTACTACAGGAGAAAATCACACGTTACTCTGTGTTTGACATTTTTATGACATGACAAACTGTTTTACAGACGTGTTGATAGAAAGTTGAAGTCGTTCTTTATACGTATGGTGCTTTTAATGGAGTCTTTAGAAACAAGTTCAAATACGAGTTCAAATATTTATTGTTAACATTAGATCGATCAATCTCTCTGCTCTAGTAGAAAGTTTAGTTAAAATACTGCTACTACTAATAAAAATCATCCTTATTATTGATATTATCATTATTATTTAGTAGTAATAAATACATTGATATCTTTAGAAAGGTTAAAAAGTAAAGACTATCTTTGTTTGAATGCAATTGAAGTTGATACAGAGTCAAGACTTGGATGAATGAAGTGGATAAATCATCCAATCACATGGACAGAGAAACACCACGGTTTAAACCTGTCTTAGGAGGAGTGGAAAATGTGTTTTTTCAAAAACCGTGCCATTGAACACTTATTTTATCCCGTGGTCTCTGTCTGCAGTTCAATGATGTCATTCTGTACACTAGTCGAGGGATGACGGCGTCCAATCAGTTCAAAGTTCACGGGCAGCTGTCGCTCCATGGCATGACAGTAAGTACTGTGTCTCTCAGCAGTACACAGAGTACTTCAAATACCTGTCACTGTGTTGTCATTACTGCAAAATTAAATGATTCAAACAGCTGACCACACACACACACACAGCCACAGTCACACACACACACACTATATGTATCACTTTAATCTTTTGGTTCCTGCTGTCCCAGACACCACGGTTCTCAAAGGTTCGCTCTGTGGTTCTGTCTGTTTCTTTCTCCAGATCAGGGAGAGTGAGGATGAGTGGGGCGTACCTCACGCCTTCACACTGGTTGGACAGAAGCAGTCGGTGGTGGTGGCAGCAAGGTAAAAACACTGGCTGTGAAATACGGGAGTGGCTGAAACACAACTGCTGATTTGTTTTTAAATGAGTTTCTTATTTTGCACCGGTGCCAAAATGACCTCATATTTTCAGGACAATTTACACGATTAGACCTTGACTTTGGAATTCTGCATTTAGAAAGAAAAACCTGACACTGTACAGTTAACACCAACAGTAAGGTACACAGCCATCTGTTTCTGTTGGTTGGGAAGAAGTAAATCAAGTAATAGTAGTAAATAAAATACATAGGTGGGGAAGAGGTCAGGAGGAAATCCATTACAGTTGTTTATATTAGTAGTAGTTTTGTCTTGAAGTAAGAGCACCTTTGATAATAGTCTCAGTTGTAAATAATAATAATAATAATAATGTAGCGTATCTTGGGAGTTCCCCCAGCGGTCTAGGCCTAAAAACAGCATACGTAAGGAATAACTCAAGTTTAAAGAACACCTTAATTAGATGTTTAGTTTAAAGGCCGCTCTGACTGTGTGTTATATCAAAGAGGAAGATTTCAGACATGAATTCAAAGCATGGGTGTCAAATATAAGGCTCTGAAGTCAGTGAATGATAGATCATAGTTGGTATGAGGTCATTCAGGTGGAAAGACATGGATTCAGCGCTTGTCTGCTCGTTACACAGTATGTTTAAAATATGGTCTCTCTCCAGATTCTGGCAGTAGAACTGCTGCAGCATTTGTATCAACAGGAAACATTTAAAGAAACGTTAATACAGTCGCTAATGAGTTCATCCAGATCACAGTAATTACAGCGAGCTCACAGTAGTTAAGACTTAGAATCACGGAGCAGACTTTGGTTTTACTTCCAAGATCTGTCTTTGACATCAAGGACTCTTTTTAAAACACCAGGAACCTCGTGTCACGACTATCGACGTGTATTCTGTTTATGTTTACTGTAGTTCACTGACGGAGATGGGGAAGTGGATGACGGACATAAAGGCGGCGATCGAGATGGCGAAAACCAGCAACGGGCCGTCATGTGACCTGCTGACTGACAGCGTGAGAGACAACAGTAAGTTAAGGACACAGAATCTGGAAAAAAAGAAATTCCAGGAGACGAAAAGGCAACCGTGACTCAAGCATCACGTTGACACCAGCCCACACTTGATCTGTCAATAATCTGACCCTGTCTGTGTTGAAGTTCCCACTCTCCTCATTACTCGCTCATGATCTGGCAGTAACCACCTCCTGACTTTCCCAGAATGCCCTGAGGACTCTGCAGTGGATGTGGAGTCTGAGGACGACATGACTGCGTCCAACACCGCTCTGGAGAAGCCTGTCCCTCACCGTGGTAACACCATGGTGCACGTGTGCTGGCACAGGAACACCAGCGTGTCCATGGTGGACTTTAGAGTAGCTGTGGAGGTACCGGCAAAAAAACCTCAGCCCTGCCCTGTCCCTGTGCCTCACTGTTCTCTTCCTCTGTTCCTCAGTGTTTGCCTGTATCTGAACACACTTTAATTATTTCTCTGTGGTAACTGTATCCTCCTGTGCTGCACTGCATTGGATTACCTTTGACTGAGTCCAACGTTTAGCTTCTCTGTAGACGACGCAAACAAAACCAAGTGTTTTCTGAGGCTCAAGTAAATTTTTTTGACAAGATCAAAAATGTTTGGTGAAATTCACCAAAAAAAATGCTGCACACGCATTAAAATTCCATGATTGTTAAAAATAATGAGCCTTATAAAACTCAATATTTTAAGTTAATGTTTGAAGTCAGATCATTTTTAAGATGATTTACTCCCTCGTTTTTTTTTTTGTTTTTTGTTTTGCAGCCTCAGTGAAAATACCGTTCCCACTCTGCCTTTCTTTTGCTGACAGACGCCAGCCTTACTTTTTTATACAAACCCAAAACTGTGGCTTTCCTGTGTGGTTCTGTCCTTCTTCTCCCTGCCTAGCACTTGAAATGTCTAATTGTCTATAAATAGAGAGAGAGAGCAGTAGCTAGATGTTCTAAACGTCCTCGTCTCACACTAACAGAACGGATCCTGTTTGGGACGTGGGCTGACGACAGCCCAGCTCTGTCCTGCTCTAGTTCTGCTCTTCCTCTGTAATGACGTCCTCTTCACAGCCCTGCCTGGACACAACATTGGCTAATGTGTTGTTGAGCCCTGCCACTGCATGCCTGTGTTTCACCGACTCTGTCTGTATGTTTCTGTCCTTCCCCCCTCTGTCTGTCTTTTCTCTTTCTCTGTCTGTCTCTTTTTTTCTCATGCGTCTGTGCGTTCCTCCGTGGTAGAGGACCCTAGTCCAGTCAGTGAGAATATGGCCCCCCAGGTGGGGCACCCCAGTGGCCAGGGACCCGTGCCTCTGTCTGTTATCTGCTGGTACCGTGTTCAGAGCCTCTCCTTTAGTGAATCCTGCAGGAGCCTAGAGGTAAAGGAGCCCAGCAGCCAGGGGAGGCTAGCAGACATGTACTACTATAGTACTTCATGTAAATGAGCTAAAAACAGACCAGTCCATTTCAGCTCCTGTTATGATTTAAACATAGTTTCTTGAAGAACCTGTTACTTTTTTTTTACAAAGGCCCTCAGAGTTAGTTTTCTAAAGTTAGAACTCTGGGTGGTTAAAAACAAGAGAAGAAGAAAAGAACATTAATGATGAATCAGCTGTACTGGACATTAACAGTAGCCACCTAAATTCTGGTTCTGCTCAGAAATAATCAAAAAAGTGGATAAATAAAAAAGACAATTATTCATAAACCTGTATGCAGATTATACATTTAGACACTTTCCCAGGAAAAAAAGCGGACAAAATCAAAGTGTTGTGTTAGACCGACCAAATATTTTTAATTCAGTCAGTGAGGAACTAAATGTCCCACATTCACTGTGGTGAAGAGTGAACACAGTTAGCTCTGTGGTTTGGCATACGGTCATTAAGAATTATTACAACTAAAAAAAGTTTGGTTCCATTTAATTAAGTCCAAAAACAAAATAGATGCTGTAAGATGATTTATTCCACAATGTTTTCACAGTGTTATTAACGGTCATAGAATAGAATAGAATAGAATAGAATAGAATAGAATAGAATATGAATCATTAATTCTAGTCTAATATTAACAAACCTATTTCTAATTCTGCATGCGTCACATTAAAAACCTAAACTTTATTCTTTTATTTTTGCAGAATCAGCTGTCAGGAAATTTGCTGAGGAAGTTCAAGAACAGTAACGGTTGGCAGAAGCTGTGGGTGGTCTTCACCAACTTCAGTCTGTTTTTCTACAAGTCTCACCAGGTGATCGTCCACTGAAGACACTTTTCATCTCCTACTTATTCTTAACCCTGTCTTAGTCTGTTCTTCCTTCACACCGTTGTGCCGAATGTTGAATCTCAGTGTGAAACTTGAGGTCACACACTTTCCCAGGCGGTTTTTATTTCCCAGACCTGTTTGAAATTACTGGATGACCACAAAAATATTTAAATCCCCAATCGGGCACAAAACAGAACACCTGCTCGTCCTTAATCAGCTGAGGCCACAGCTTGGTCAGTTAAATGACCAACTAAATCGTATTAATAAATGACTGGATAAATCAATTGAAAAAATAAAACATTAAAAGGGAAAGAAAATAATTTCTGACCTCGAGATGTGGGCCAATAAGGTGGGTTCGCGGGCCAGGAGTTTGACATAGTCCTTGCCATAAATGCTATTGGTGTTGCTGGTCAGTATTTCAGACGTTCCCTTTATCACTGACTAACCAGACCACCCTTTGTCACACTGACTCTCTCCTTCCCCTCGTCTGCAGGATGACTATCCTCTGGCCAGTCTTCCTCTGCTGGGTTACTCCGTCACCGTCCCCTCAGAGTCAGAAAACATCCACAAGGACTACGTCTTCAAGCTGCATTTCAAGTCCCACGTCTACTATTTCCGAACTGAGAGCGAATATTCCTTTGAGAGGTACGGGGTCTGAACAGACACAATCACAGTTGATTCATACATATAAATCTTTGAAGTGAAACACACTGACGTAGAGTCTGTGTCTCACCGTCCGCAGGTGGATGGAGGTGATCCGCAGCGCCACGGTTCCATCTGGTCAGGCTCGTGTGCTGAACAGCAAAGAGTCCCATCCTCTCTGAGCTGATCTGTCAGCACCTGCTCCTCCTTTTGATTTCTACAAACAGTATATCTGGGACATTTGTACATGTGTGCGCGCACATTTTGGTGCTTTTCTTTTTTTATTGCTGTAATGGTGACACGTCCGCTGGTTTAGACTGCATCAGAGACTGCATTTCTTGGCATTTTTACTCTCAACACTTCAAAAACAGCCTTTTTACTGAAGTCATTTTATACTCTTTTCTAACGGTCTCAGCCACTTCTTATCTTTTCCTCTTTTATTTCATGTTGCCATTAGTTGTTTTTACAATGAGAAAAAGTTGACTTACAGTTACAGTAAATGTCAACAACTTTTCACAGACAGGTTAAAAACTCTCAGCTTTTTATTTTAAAGGACAACAGCTGCTGTGAAACTCTTTGAGCTTCAGTGCCAAACAGGTTTATACCAACATTCTGGACTTTCTTATTCTATTTTGTTACACTGAGATCAAGCGCGATTCTCTGCTGTGCCATACACAGTCACATTTTTAAGAACTTGTCTCCTAGGAACAGCAAGATACCTTCTAAAGGTCAGTCCTGTGTTCACACCTGGCCCAGCACAACCTGTTCTTAAAGAAGAGATCAAAATGGGAATATTTTAATACTGACAGATTCTAGGATTGCTCACCATCACCACTGATGCAATGTCAAGTAAATATTCTAAATGAATGTTTGTTGTATGAATTACGTCACAGACTGTTTTTTTTTCTTTAAATCGATCAGAAATGTGGTGAAAAGTGTGAGAAATGTTCATAATCCTTTGTGTTATGAAGGAAACAGTACGTGAAAGCTTTAAAGGCCATGTGTGAAACAAAAGACAAACTTTCAGTTCTAAGTGCTGTCGTCCTCACTGAACTAAGGCTGACTCCTGTATGAAAATATCAGATGTTTTCATAGGTCTAAATGAATAGAAATATGCATTTGACAACGGTTTTGCAGTGAGGTGAATGTAAAAAACGTTCTGGTTAAAAGTGAGCTTTTTTGGAGAAAAAAAGAAAGAGAGCTCTTTGGAAACGAAAGCAATAAAACATCTATTCTATATTCTGGTCTTTTGTTTTTGTGCACCTCAGGGTGTTTACATGAGTGACCGGCAGAGGGCGTCCTTGATCAGGACGGAGTTTTTTTAAGGCAGCATCAGAATATCACGCTCGCTGTAGTGTTTGTCACAAGTAAATTAATCAATAAATCCAATGTTTAGAAGTGTTTGTACATTTTAGAAAAAAATATTTAACTTTACAACCAAATTGTTTAGAGGGCGTTGAGAGTATTTTTATAATGTAGTATTAGGTTTTATGATTTATTGATATATAAACAGGATACATTTTTATTAATTTCATATATTTGACCAGAATGATATATAAAACCTACACGGGATACTGTATTATGATAAACAATTAAAACGAACGTTGTATTTATCCTTAATTAGTTTTTTAATAATGTGCAAAAAGGTCTCAGTTGATAATTTTAGCCAATAAAAGTAGAAAACAACACCGACAAAGAAATCCAAAATCGGTTGGAGTGTAAAACAATTACTGAAAAACAGACAAAACAATATTGGTCTTAATTTCTTAATTTTTGAACACATTTAGATTTGGTGAAATGACAGAAAATAAATGTCTGTTTGCGATTGTAATATTGGCATTGAGTGAAACCTGAATCGAATCGAATCGAACTATCGACTTAATTGCGGTGCAGTGTGAGAACATCTGTCATACATCCATGTCCAACAAATATCTGGCACCATGCGTGCGGGGAGGAAGTTTCCAGTGGATTTAAGTAATCAACATCCAGGTTTTCCACCCAGGTGGGATTTTTGTTTATGGATTCAGTCATCCACGCTGTGGGAGTAAAGTCCAGGCGCAGCTGCTCTGCCTAAACCCACAGTGGGCTGGCCTTTAAGCCGGTAAGGGGCGGAGTGCGCAGAAGAGGCAAAGAGATTATACACCTCCTGTGTCTGACTGACGCTGGGCGACCAGTAAAACTGTCCCAACACAGAAGAGGGAAACTTTATCATGATAACAACAAATCAACCAGCTGCAGCTCGGGGATAAAATCTACACATCCAGCTCGTTTTGATGAATCCGCGGCGGTACCACAACATCCAGGAGCTTGTTCCAAACTAGCGGCGTGCAGCAGTGAGGATCCGACACGGGGATAAAGTGAGAGATGGAGTTGCTCTAAAGGTCGTCCTGCCAACGTGGGTTTGGAAAGGTCGTTGACACAGAGCGGAGCGCGGCGATGGGGACTCCTGCTCACCCGGAGACCAGGAAATTTACGCGTGGTCTGGGAAAACCAGGCACCGCGGCGGAGCTGAGGCAGAGCGTCTCGGAGGTGGTGAGGACGTCGGTGCTGGTCGTAAGTACACGAACACACACACAAATACACGCACACACCATCCCTCCCTCCTCTTCACCGTCTTCATCTTCCAGTGTCACCCTGACGGTGCGGGTATCAGCTGTAGGATCCTTAAGATACGATAAGAGTTTGGAGAAACCATGTGGTTGAACAGAAAGTGAGTTTACTGACTGTCACACGCTCACACACGGAGCGGATACGTTAGACGCAGATACGTTAGACGCAGATACCAGTACAACCAATGAGTACTTTCGTTATTGACGAGTATTTCTGTTGACGAACTGGTATCATAAATGTTCCGATAAAACATCGAATAACCTCAAGTCACTTGTTTTCTCTGTGTTTATTTCAAACCATTATCAAACTGCTTCCATTTGAGCAGCAGAATTGGTTTTTGACTAATTAGATAAATTATATATTGGTGTTTTGTTTAACATCATATCCATGTGTCAAGTTAGTCGGTTTGCAAACGTTGACTATTTAAGTAGTCAATTAATAATCAATTAAATGACTACATCTTGAGGCTCTAGAAACCATTAAGAGGACATTTTGTTTAGGTCTCATAACAACACAAAACCGTTTTCCTACCTGTTTATATATGGATTTAATCTATATGTGTACAGTATCTCTGGAGAATGATGCATATTTAATAAGTATTTCTGTAAAGAGTTCAGAGTTGGCCAAAGGGCAACAGTATCAGGAACTATGTCTCCCGTGAAGTTGGCCAAAGGGCAACAGTATCAGGATGTTATGTTAAGATGAAATGTTAAGAGGAATCAGGGAATATTTCAGTATTTCAGAATGTATATACATTTTCACTACAGGAAATTGTACCAGGACCTGGGGACGGTACTAGGAACTACAGTATGTACATTTTCACAAGAACATAAACAAAATAGTTCCAAGGAACAGAAACAGAACAAGGAAGTAAGTGTGCATTTCAGCTGCAGGAACCAAAACTTAAATGCAACTACTGGGACTTTTTGACAACAGGAATGTACCGTGCCCTTACAGATGACAGTGATGAGAGGACTGCCGGTTCAAGTCCCAGTGCGCCCCCCCCCCCATTCCCCCACTCCTCACGCCATGTGAATTGTAACCAGCTCCTGTGTGTGTGTATGTGATGACAAATGAAGCTGTTTCTGTATTTATCATCTTCTGTAAAGAATCAGTGTCTGATCCAGGCAGTTAGTACTCAGTGTGACTGAGGGCAGCAGTTTCCAGAGGATGCTCTTAGATGTCAAAGGGAAAGCATTTGGCTACGATTTCATGCTCCGGGCAGTTTTCAGTGACAGTGACATAACGCTAAATTTGACCGATCACCTCCAGAACATCTGGAGGACGTGGACATGTCTGTGAACCTTCTCAGTCCTCAGTGTCAGTTTTCCATGGAGTTCATAGAAGAAAACAGAGTCGACCCTTTTGTTGCACATGTCCGAGTGTGTCGGGTGTTCGCTGCTCCTTCTGATTGTTCCAGTTTTCCAGGAAGAAGTTGCTAGGTTACTGAAACGGACACCGTCCAGGCTCTCTGTCAGGGAAATGGAATCCTGAGTCAGGATCCCAGACATCCAACCACACCTTGGTATTATTTATTCATTCTCACTCTGGTGCACGGCCAAAGACGCCTGAGGGAAGAGAGCAGAAATGGATACAAGTATGCATGTTGAGAAATCAAATTTCTGAAGGAGTTTAGAAGAAACTGGTCGGACTGTGTGGGACTTTCTTCTGTTTTTGTTTCAGCAGGGATGTGGCTGTTTATTGTGAGATAATCTTGTGCAGTAACCTTTGTGATAGGAACTAAGATGTGGCTGTTTATTGTGAGATAATCTCGTGCAGTAACCTTTGTGATAGAACCAAAAGTGTTCATGTTGTGATTCTCTAAACACTAGCTGAAGTCATCATCTGCTGGTTCTTCTTTTGGAACTCTTTCTCTAACTTTGGACGTGAACGTGGCCCAGCCTTTAGATGAGTGCACTTGGAAGACTAGGAATCGATGTATGGATTTGTTGTCGACCCGTTGTGTCTTCAGAAGCTTCTCAGTGGGACGGGAATGTGACTGCACACAATATCGCTGTCCACGCAGTCTATAATGCATTCCTCCATGAAACATTAAGGCAGCACAGCTGAGACGGATGGACATAAAGAAAAGACTGTTGTCATTGTCTGCTGGTTTCTGATCCCTGTGATAATGTTGTAACAGGCAGCTGTGGATTTTTTTTAACTTCAATTTAAAGAAAAGCCAAGATAAGCCAATGTCCAGCCTTGAAGAAGTCTCTTAGTCGTCCACTGGTGTCAAGTGCAGCCTCCTGCTGCTGCTCGTGTCCTTTCCCAACAATTTATGCATTTTCACTGGGGCTGCAGTGGCCAGATCCTCTTTGTTTATTGTTGCAGTGGAGAGCAGAAAGTCTTGTAACAGCGCTCAGCTGAGTCATCCCTCTGTTTCCCCACATTTTAACCATGCTGAGAAAACCATCAGCTCCATGAATGACTGTCACCAGCTTTGACTTTGACCACGGCCTCACTTCCCCTGGATTGTACAAAGCTGTGTGATAACTGTTGTGAATTTGTTTCATTACTAAAATAAACAAACAAAGTTTGACGTTTTAAAATGACAAAAATTTGTCAAACAAAAACGAAAAGCTCGAATAAATATCCACTACATATGGTACTGCCAAATTTAGTGCAGAGGTAGCCATCAAAAACAAGCATAATTAGCCATTAGCTTACACAATTACCTAATTTAATTCACATGACATTTTGCACACAAAACAAGTGGGGGAACATTCAATTAAAGTTAATTGTGAATAAAGCTAACAGTAATATAAAACTACACTAAACTTACCCTCCTGTTACTGCACCAATACATTCTGAAAAGTGTACAAATGACTAATGTTAGGAAGCTGCTGCAACTTGTTCAGGTGTCACAATTCGGCCCCCGGCCAGACATTGGACACACCTGGTTTAGGCAGAATATCCAGCATTACCAGCAGCTGGGAGCAGTGTTATGTAATCGTAATCAATAGTCCTAACCACGTTCCACCTAATGGTGATACAGTGAGATGAGCTGAGTGTTCTGACCCTGAGAACCTGTCCACCAGATGGAGGTCATCATTACTGTAGGTTGTCATTATCTGTCCCCGGGCAGGATGTGCAGAAGTGACTTCCTGTGGGATGGCTCTGTAAACCAATGCTGTAGAGAGAAAAAAAAAGAGGGTTTGGCCACATGGACAACTGTCATCGTCACAGTGTGTTTGTGCTTAACTGCTTACTTGTCGTAAGGCCTTAATAATCTGGTGGGAAAAGTCCTATTTGTGTGTGAAACTGCTTTGACAGGGGCTGGTGGGGGTCTGTGCCATAACACAGACTGAACAGTGTTATGTAATGACTGTCCTGTGTTCCCTCAGATTGGTTGTTCATCTTTAATCGCCACATTTCCAATCCGTTGCGCCTCCTTTTGTACTTTTGCAACTGCCGCCTGCTTCGTATCACCGCCTGCATCACATCGTGTCAACATTGTTTACTCTGGTCAGACCTTGGCACTGATGTTTCCCTGCTCTCACTCTCACAAAACATTGTTTCATTTTATTTTATGACCTCCCCTGCTCATTTGCACGTACACTCCACATCCCTGTGCCGCACTTGTCTTGTTGACTAAACATTTACGTTTTCACTTTCTGCCTTTTT